AACTTAACAAGAACCAAATGAGACACTACTATATACCTGTGTTGGCCAGCTTAATATCCCTGGAACAAAATATTCAACACCAGAAACTTAAAGGAGGAGAGGTTTATTTTGGCTCATGGTTTCAGAGGATTCAGTTCATGGTCAGCTGGCTCCACTGCAGAAACCTCATGGCAGACGGGGCTGGTGGAGGAGAGCTGCTCACCTCCAGGCACCCTCCAGGCACCCAGGAAGCCCAGAGCAGGAGACTCAGAGGGGAAGGACCGGGTATATTCCCCAAGGTCATACCCAGAGCACAGAGGTGTGACAAGGTCATACCCAGAGGTGTGCTGTACTAAGCTCCTAGGCACATACAATCAAGTTGATCAAGAAGATTAATCATCACAAGATCTATAAGAATGGCAAAACTGGCCCAGGGATTTAGCTCCGTGGTTCCGTCACTTGCCTTGCAAGTGCAAAGACCTGAGTTCGATCCCTGGTACCAAAAAAACAAAACAAAACAAAAAAAGAATGGCAAATTTTTTTTTTTTAATTTAAACTGAATTTCCACATGCTGGAGAGGATGAGAAAGATCAAAAACTTCTATGCTCAGCTAAGAGGGGTGCTGAGGTTACAGCAAGAGTGGAAACCAGTTGGCTGCTTCTTATATAATCAAGCAGACTCTCCCCATGCAACCTGACAGTCCCAGCCTTAGACATTTGCTCAAGTGAATGGGAAACATAAAAACCTATGTAAAACGTCAGTTGGAATGCTGACTTTAGTTATATCCATCATTGTCAAAACCTAGGAACAGCTCAGATATCCTAACAGGTGACTGAGTAAAATAAACTGGTCTACCCACATGAGATGCTGTGTAGTGCAGGAGATCAGAGAACCGATTTATACAGCACAGCCCTCCCTGTACACGGTGACTGAGGGCCTCCTCCTTCCCAGGGAAAGTCTATTTTCCCCACTCAGGGAGCCTGTACCACCGGGTGAGTCACTGGCCTGAATAACAGGCATGAGAAGGGACCCTGTGCAAGGTCCAAGCCTGGGCCCCAGGAAGCCCCCGGGCATCCTCCTGTCTTGCAACGCTGCCCCCAGTAAACAAGCCAGCCTGCTGCAGAACAGAGCTCACCAGGCAACAAGCCGTGCCACCAAGGCCACCCTAACCAGCCAGCCCATCCCACCTGGCAGAGGGGACCACAGGTGGAGGAGGAGCCCAGCTGGGCCTGGCTGAGCCTGACCCAGATCAACTGAGCCGCACAGCTGATCCCCTCCACAGCTAAATGAATGGTCACTGTTTAAAGCTGCCTCGTCTTGGGACTGCTTGTTATGCAGCAGCCTCTGCCTCATAAGGCGGGCAGAGCCTGACCCTTCAGGGATGGGCGAGGGAGAGGAGGCAGATTGCCCCAGGGAGTCAGATGGCTGCAGGACCCACGCAGGTCCCAGGAGAGCTTTGAAGATGCAGGGAGTGGTCCTCCAGGCCTAAGAGAGTGGCAGCTTCTTAAATAACAGAAATGATCATCAAAACACCATTTGGTGATCAACGCATAGATAGAAACAACTCACGTGAACTTCCTGTGAATAGCAGAAAACCCAGTTCCTCCCCTACTTAAACACATCCCCCCACCCCCACTGTCTGCCTCAGGCAGGAGAGCTCAAACTCTAACAAGGGCGGCACCTGCAGCTCCACAGCCCAGCATCTCTGCAGGAAAAGCTCAAGCACACAGTCCCAGGCAGGAGTGGCAGCGACCTGGTGGCCTTCTCTCCGCCCTTCACAGCGCCCTCGCTCGGAGGCTCAGGCCCTGTCACCCCCTGCCCACTCCGCTCTTCTTCGTTCATCACGGCCATGTTTCTCAGCTCCTCTCGGGCTCTCCCTGCCTCGTCCATGCTTATTCCTCACATTTTGGCACCGGACACGGAGAACCGAGTGCTGCTGCTCCACATCACCTCAGCAGGACTGAGCCCCAACAGCTGCAGGCCGGCCCATGAGCCAGCACAGGCCTCAGGAGGTGCAGGGACAGTTGAGGCACTGCTCTGCTGGGGGACCCTTCCCTCGGGACGTGCCCCGGGCACCGGGGTATGGGATGGGGAGTGCACAGCCCTGGGAGTCGGCCCTGGGTTAACTCACAGCCCGTCACTCCCAGCCACGGGGCCCAGGACTCCCTGGACCTCCAGAACGGTAGCTCCTGCGTCTAAACAGTCCCACGCATGAGCTCACCCCAAGTGGCTGGCATGAGCGCTGACTGCCATCAAGGTCACCGAGCATCCGTCAGACATCAGAGCCAGGGATGCCGTGAGCAACTGACACACCAGTGCCTGGGACACCAGGAGCCTCGGGAAGTGCCCGTCATGGCTGTCCCCACCCACCACCTCAGCCTGGCTCCCCTGTCCCCAGGGCGGGATCTTCCCATGCCTGGTGCCGCCCGTGTCCCTCCTGCTCCCCAGTCCACCCCACCCTGGCCAGCCCAGCCAGGCCTGCCAGTCTTAATGAGGCCGTTTGTTCCTCAAATGATTCAATAAACGGAGTGAAAGCTCAGTGACGATTAGGAAAAAAGGGGAAATGCGCAAGAGGACATGACCTGGTGACAAGCACATCAGAGGCCATAAAAGTGTGGCAATTGCTTTTCTCAACCAGCTGCTGCCTTATTTTGAAACTTTCCTGGAAGGGACCCGGTATTATTGGCCATTATGATGAGGCAGAAGCTTTTTATTTGCCCAGTCACATGGGGTCACAGAGGTCTGGCAACGAGTGCGGAAATTATGTCACTCCCAGGGACAGAGGGAGGAAGGGGCTGTGGGAGACACCGAAAACACCTGTCCTGGGTTCCCGCCTCTTCAGCAGCCTGGGCTCACCCACAGTGGAGGCCCCAGAACCAGCTTGTTTGCCCTAGCGACACTGTTTATTCTTCTCCTTTGTGTACCCTGTCGCTACCGTGTGGCCTGAGCCCCCATCGGCCACCCCCCGGCCTCTGGAGCTGGAGGGACAGTTGGGGCACCACCCTGCCATGGGAGACCCTTCCCTCGAGCCCATGTGGGGCAGAACACACAGCGGCAAGCCCACACTGCACAGTGATGAGATGCAAGTCCCCACGTCCCCACAGGTTTGGCTCCCACCAAACAAGCCACTCCAAAGGTCCTGGGGACATCATGGGGCAGAGGAAGGGCACATCCCTTGCTACTGTGGCCTTCAGGTCCCCACAGGCCCCCTGGGAGGGGCCACACTTGGGATCTGCCCACAGCGCAGGTCCTGTCTTCACCCCTCCAGGGTGCACTGGGCCCGAGGACACACTGAGGCTGGGGCTCAGGAGCCAGGACCTGCACTTCCTGTGGGGGCTCTGAGGCCGCTCCTCTCTGTTGTCACCAAATTCCTGAACCACCCACCACTGGACAGGAGCTGATCCAGGCTGGGCTGCTGTGGCTTTGTTCCTGGGTCCTGGTCAGCCCGGGAGGCTGTGGGCTCCTCTCCACCCAGAAGTGGCTGAGCCCAAAGCTCCGGTGCCTAGCAAGGCTTTTCTGGTGTGCACAGAGACGGGCTGCTCCCTCTTCCTGCAAGGCCACCAGAGCCACCTCCGTGACCTCAGTGACCTTCGCGTCTCCTGAAGGTCATCCAAACAGTCACTTTAGGATCAGGGCTTCAACAGGTGAACTGGGACACAATCCAGTCTGGGGAGGAGGGGAGAGCGAGCCGTGTCCACATCACAGCAGGCTGGAGGTGTTTACGTCTTCTCCCCGGTGCTGACCCCCCTGGTTTCCATTGTGCCCCAGCAGTGTCCTCCTGTCCATCATCCTCCCACCAGGACCAGGAGTGAAAGGAGAAGGCTCCCTGCTGGCCCCATGTGCACCCCAGAGCACTCGTCTTTCTGGGCACCTCACAGGCAACATCGCCCCTCGCTCCCTGTCCTGCAGATGGGCCCCACGGAGGTCCAGGCCCACCCAGTCTACCCGAGCAGCACAAATACATCCAGTGTCACAGCCCCGCGGCCACTGTCTCTGTCTGAGGGACAGCCCGAGACAGGGCGCGTCCAGGACAAGATCCCAGGGCACAGAGGGCAAAGCCTCCCCTCACCAGCAGAGACACTGGTGGAGTTGACACACAGCTACCTCCTGTCCTGGTCCTGCTGACCATCAGACTCACTGAGCAGGATGGGCTGAGGGCTGCTGGTCACTGTGCCACAGCCTGAGAGCAGTGCCAGCCCAGGTCCTGCTGCAGGTGGAACGAGGTCCCTACCTGTCCAGAGCACATGGCCCCGGGCTCAGCTCCCCATGAGGAAGGTGACTGCAGCCTTTGCAGGAGGAGCGTCCCGGGCCAGACAACTATGTGTTTGGGCTCATTTCTGCTTGCCTGAGTGCTGCAGGGCTTGCTGGGAAATTAGAGCGAGCTGAGCTCCAGTTTACCTGTGGCTGGCCAGCCCTTGACCAGGTCAAACTTTCCAGCTCTGAATTCTAGGGAAACAACTGACTCCCTGCTCCACACTGTCAGGCCCGTGTGCTTGTTTAGAGGGTGCTGGTGCAGGGGGCACAGGAAGAGGGGATGGAGACGCAGGCAGAAGAAGCCTGGATGGACTCCAGACACAGGGGCCAAACCCCACCAGCCTGTGTGGTCACCACCGTGAGTGGCATTTGTCCTCTCTGTGCTGGCCTCCCTGTGCCCTTCACAGGGCCTTCTCAGAGGTTTTGATTTTCACTGGATTTCCCCTGGAAAAGCATGGCAGAGAAGATTCCTAATCATGATTAACACTGGCTCTTGCTAGCGCATGCAAGGGTGCAGACTCACACGCAGTATGCCCGTTCCATCACCCCCATCCTTGGAGCCAGAAGTTACCCTGCCTTGCCTCACTTCCCACTTTGAGGGGAAAAGAAGCAAATGAGGAGGGGAATCTGCTAGCCAGGGTTGCGCTCTCACAGGTAACAGCTGACAGTGTTTCCAGCTCCTGACGTTACCATGGAGACTGCATGCAGGGATGCTGAGGCCCTGCTTCTGCGGCCCCAGTGCAAACTGGGTGCCCTTGCCACTCGCTCCTGACCAAACTACCACGTGCCCTGTTGGAGGAACACTCCCAGTCCACATGTCATTCCCCAGAGACACGCAGGACTTACAGGCTGAAAACCTGTAAAAACTAATAGGCAAAGCTTTGTCATTCAAGGGGACCCTCTCGCAGCTCTGTGTCCTGTGGCAACTTCTAATATCACCTGCACTTTTCGTTTTAAGTGGAAAAGCCACACACGCCAGCACATGCTGGTTTCCAACAAATGGAAAACAAACCACCAAAAACAAAAAACAAAAAAAACTTTTCCAAGGCGTTTTCCAGCTGAACAAAACCAGAAGGGGCCAAGAAGCGCCAGACAGGTTCAGCTTGCTATTCGGGGCCCTCTCCACCCCTGACCGGTTTCACTGAATCCCCAGCGCCACTCGTGTGGCTCACTGCTCTCCCAGCCACCATCTCTCTTCTGGTGTGGGCTCTGTGCTCGTCAGGACGGTCTGCTGACGTGTGGACGGCTTGCAGTCAAATCTAAAGAGATGAGTGTGGCGGGCTGCTGTCCGGGCGTCTGGCGTGGGGCGCCTCTCCCAGGGCCCTGGTCTTCTCAGTGTGTGCCCGACCTGGCTGTGGTGGTTGTTGGAGGCACGGTGACAGAAGCAGCACACTGTCCTTCCTGCCACATGGGACTCCAGCAGGCTTCTCTGCCTCTCTCTAAACTCCGATGACAGAAACAAAGCGCGAAGCACCTCACCACCATTATGAGCTGAGAGATGAAACAACATAAGTAAAGGGCTTTGAAAATAAAAGCCCATGAGTCTACTGATGGCTGAGTACTGAGTGAACGGGAACAAGGGTGCTGCTTTGCTCATCCTACCTGGCAACTCAGACCTGGGTCAGCTGCAGCCTCAGGCCCTGGGGAGTCTGTGGGGCACCCACCGACCCCGTGAAAGCCAAGGACAGGAGTTGCGAGAGGCAGGACATGTGCATGACACAGCCCACCGGTCCCAGCCCCCTGGGGGTGGTCCACACCCCTCTGCCTGGCTCCCACAGGAACCTAGTGGTCATGGTCTGGTATTTGGGTGGGTTTTTCTATTCTGAAAGGGCAAGGAGGGAGTGAGAACCCCTGGTTGCTCTGACTGTGGGCCAAGATCCAGGTGGGACACTACCAGCCCTGTGGTCCCATCAGCAGCTGACACTCAGCACGTCCCGCAGGAAATGCAAAATTAAAGAAGATGAGGTGGATGGGAAAGAATCACCACTTCGATTTTCATCCTCATTTATAACTCTTTTTTTTTTTTGTCCAGCACCAGGAATTGAACTCAGGACCTTGCGCTTGCCAGGTAGGAGCAGCACCATTGAGCTACATCCTCATCCTCACTTATAAACAGCTGAAGAAACCCAGCCAAAGAACAGAGGTAAAGTTTAACCACAAACACCAGAACTTGGACCTTTAGTTCACAGACTCCAGGCCCATCGCTTTCAAAGCTTTTGATGCCTTCGGATCCCTTCATCCTTCAGGTCCTAGCTTAGGGTGGAGTCGGAAGAGGAGCAGAAGGGTCTGAGGCCCCTCCAGGGCTGCGGCCCTGATCTTACAGTTTCAGAGCTGCTTCTGGCAGCAAGAACAGAAGTCTCCCCGGAAAGCCCCTTACCAGCCCACTTCCGTGTGTCCAAAAAGAGGATGGAAAAAATAACTCAAGTCTTCGGCCAAGAGCACCGAGAGGGAGTTAAGGGGCCGGGCACACGCCAACTCCGAGGCAGGCTGCGGAGATGTGAATCCCCACATCAGCAGAAAAGCAAGGGGACCTTGAGTGCACAGGCTTCATCGATACCCCATCTATCAGCAATTACGGCCTCCATCAGAGGCCGCTTCGCAGCAGACAGAGGGGCAGGGCCACGTCTGCCCGGCGCTGGGCAGAGGGTGTCGTGAGGCCGATTTCAAAGGCATCTGCAGCATCGTTATCACTGAGCGTGGAGTCAGAGAGGCAGCAAAACAGAGGGCCCCCGAGAGGCAGCGAGTGATTTACTTGACCCTGGATGGGTAAAACTGACAGCAAGAACCTCATTAATTCCTTGGGTCACGTTGGAAGACATTAATTTGGTTCGGGCTCTCGGCGAGGGGAGATTTCCCAGACATACACCAGGAATTATGAAATCTCTGCGGCTGGAGAAAGTATGTCCAATCACTTTCCGCATAAATCAAGCTGCCTTTCTGGAGAAGGATAATATGCTTAATCAAGGCAGTTACGGAACTTCTTGTGCTTATTAGACAGAAAATATAACAGAATTTTATTTGGTTATCAGTTGAGAGAGGGGAGGTTTTTGCCCCTCTTTAAAGTCTTTTCCTGCCAGGGTGGACGAGCTGAGAACCTTGGGAAACATTTGCCTGTGCAAGGACAGTTCCTTGCTTTTCCCCTTTGTTTCTGTTTTCCAATGGGCGCGTGCAAAGCAGGCGCCTCCTAGGAGCCGGGCCAAGGCGCCAGACCCCCTGTGAGGGCTTCCTTGGTACTGGGCCCAGCCCTAGAAACAACCAGGGGTCTCGTTCTGTATGTTTTGGTGGCCTGGGCCAAAATTAAGCAGTCTTGGATCAACACAACCTGGGTTGAATTACAAAGCGCATGATCCTGACCAGAAGATCTCCATCCTCGCTCCAAGTTGGTACGAGGCTCTGCAGAGAGGCACAGAACGAAACTCAGTCCCCCGGCCCCCCAAGGAGTCCCCGCTAATCTTGTGTAATTCAGTGACTCTGTGCCTCTCGGTTCTCCTGTAAGTGGGCTTCTTCGCCTCTTTATGAACTGGGGAAGAGGAAGGCGTGGGGTACTTGGGGTGGGGTTACATCCGTGAGTGCAGGGACCAGGCAGACAGACAGATTGAATTATGCAAAATGGTCAGAAGACAGAGAGAGGCAGAGATGGAGAGAGAAAAGACAGAGAGACAGGGAGAGAGACGGGGCTGAAAGGCTGCTAGACAGCAAGCTGCCGCCAGCGCCCTGCCCACAATAACTCCCCTGTAAGAGTCACATCCATCACAAGGAGAGCGGGGTTATCTCTGGCCGAGAGGAACATGCATTAGTGTGTTTTACTCATTCAACACTGAACACTCCCTATCAACAGCCGTCTGCTCAAAGCGGACCTAGGAGAGCAGGGATGAATCACAGGAGGAGACAGCTCAAGGAGGGAGTTGCTGTAAGTGGAAGAGGAATTCATTAGGGCCCTAGAGTGCCACCACCTGCCCTGCCTGCCTCGCTGCCGGGCACCCAGAGCTGTCCTCATCTCTGGCCTCCCCTTTCACGTGCTGTCGGGGACAGAGAGCCCGGGGACCTGCAGGGGGACCTCAGGGCCGCTGGCTACACAAACCCTGGGCATCTCTGCAAGGCCTGGAGGTGCCCGGTGTGGACAGCAGCCTAAGTCAAGGCCTCTCCATGTCCTGCCCACTGTGGACCCACACATTCTTCTCAGAGGGCAACGGCACACTGGACTCAGAAAACTTCCTGCTTAGAAGCACCACTGTGTTGGGTGAAGTGAATCAGACACAAGCTTCTCTTATGCAAGAAACCGAACACATAAATAAAGAGCAAACTGAAAAGTAGGTGGTAGGAGACAGGGAGACACGTTTTGTAAGAAGGGGAGGAACTAGGAAGTGGAGGAAGGGAAGGAGGAAGGGGTCGAAAGAATCAGGGTGTGTTCCGTACATGCGCCAACTCCCCACAGAAAGTAAACCCTAACCCTGCAGGCGTGCACTGAGAACAGTGTTCAAACCCCACAGGTTCAGGCTTTGTGGGCGTGGACTCACCGGCCCCAGCACAGCCCAGCTGGGTGGCCTTGAACGTGTCACTGCGGCTCCCCAAACCCGAGCTCCTGCACCGTAGAGGCTGGAGGCTGGGGCCGAAGAAGGGGCTGCCACCCGGCCCCTGCCTGACGTCAGCACTTGAGCAGGGCGGAGCTGCCTTCTTTCCAGCACCGGGGCTCCCGGCCCGTGCCCACTATTCCGACTGGAAGTGAGTCTGCTCTCTTCAGTGTCCCTCTCCCTCCTTTGGTCCCGGCCACCATGGAGACTCCAAGACCCAGCACGCGTGTTCTTCTCACAGACATGCGGATAGAAAGAGCCGCTGCTGAATCGGCCGGAGATAGGCAGAATTTTCAACTCCTAATCTCCTATGTGAGGGATGCTCAAGTCCCTCAGGGTAGTAGAATTCTCTCCATCTTACTTTCTTCTTTAAATAGCTTGAAATCATTTATACAGTGCCATTGGACATATAGGATGTCGTAGGTTAAATTTTATTCTCTGATGGTGGAATATTGGGAAAAGGGAAAAAACCTGTGCATCTCAAAGCAACTTGTCAGAGCTTTAGGATAAATCAGTCCAGCTCAATGACCTCCAGCAGCTACACTGGGCATCCACACTGCTTAGGGTACCCAAGAAGGAAATCAATTAACCTCACTATGCAGGTAAAACACAGGAGATTAAAATTAAGAACTTATGAGCTGTGGATTTAGGTCAGTAGTTCTGCCACCTGCCTCACAAGCGCAAGGTCCTGAGTTCGATCCACAGTACAAAAAAAAAAAATTAAGAACCTAAAAAAGAATTTGGGGGTGATTTCTCTCTTACGGCTGCCATTAAAGTAAAATAGTTCCGTGGACTTGTGTTTCTCTTTGTAAAGGAAAGAAGCTCCCACGGGAGTTCACTTCTGCACAAGGTGGCGTGGGAAGGGCTGGACTTGCATTTCTGTGTGCAGCTGAACTGCTGAGTATCAGTGAGCTTTCACTTACGTCTAAAACGCTCTGGGTTGTGGACAGAGTTAAAGAAGCCAAGGGTGTCCAGCACTGCTTTGTACCAGGGCTGTCAGCGAGTGGCGTTGCAGGCAGGGCCATTCAGGCGTGATCCCGGAAGAGGTTCCAGCCACAGAAGCTGCACCAAGATGAGCCAGAGAGCTTCGTGCTCATTGTTTTCCTCAAACTTCAACAGCTCAGCCTATTGTTTCATAAAAACCAAGACACTTGGTGTAACGGATGCTTTTCATTAAAATAACTAATATCTGTAATGTTCTGATGTCATCAGGCTCTTTGTGGAGCTCCAGAGTGGCCTTCACATCCTGAGGTAGAAACAGGGCATCAATTTCCTGTGGGCCCTGCCCAGAGTGCTCAGCAAGGGAAACTGGGGCAGAGGAACAGTCAGCCTCCCAAGAACAGCTTCTCCTAAATGCTGGCTGCCTCTACCCAGGGAGTGCTTATTGTCCCACTGTGTCTCCTGCAGGGCTTTTATGCTGGGTTTACTGGGTATGAGAGCAGCGCTTAGAATAAAAATTAAATGAGGAATATATCAAAGTACAGAAAAGAAAATAGCTACTATTGAAAAAAGGAAAAAGAGGAAAAAAGGGCAGATATGCTCCCAGATGAAGAGCAACTGGAATCCCTGTATGTGGCCAGTGGGAATATAGAACGGGGGCCACTGTGGAAAACAGTGAGTGTTCTCCAAAACCAAAAACTAGACTCACCCCCATGATGTGGCTAGCAGTCCCACTTCTGAGTATGCTTCCAAAATCACTGAGACCAGGGTCTTGGAGGTTCTAGCTCACCCACATTCAGAGGCATGGTCATGATGGTGGCCGAGAGATGGAAGCAACCACCCCAGGGCCTCCCCGGGAACAGATGAATGGCTGGACAGGATGTGTGAGCACATGCAGGGAATACTACTCGGCCTTGAAAAAGAGGAGGATTCTGTTATAGGCCACAACATGGATGAACCTCGAGGACGTGCTGAGTTATACAAGCCGGTGATGAAAAGAGAAATATCGTATGGTGTCGTTTACAGGAGGTAGCTGAAGTAGTCCTAGTCCTAGAAGCAGAAGTAGAACCAGGGGTAACTGTGGGTGAGGAGGCATAGGAAGTTACTTTTAAATGAATATAAAGTTTCCATTGCGCAAAAAGAAAGCTCGCTGAACTGCTGCCCGAGGGCGTGAACGGACTTAGCACTTCCCAGCTGCGCCCTGACAGATGGTCAGTCAGCAAATCTGTGTGTTTTGCCAGAATGAAAAAGAGAAAGCGGTGTCCATCATGCAGCATCCGTACGTGAGCACACTGACGTCTGAGGCTGCAGTTAAAGGCACGTTCTCAGTTCCTTGCTGCCAACCTGTTCTCCCTGACGTCGTGTCCTCTGTTGGGTAAATGGCCACGGTTACCGGACGCCGGTTGTTACTGGTTACCGCCTCACGCGGGCAGTGGTCAGCTCCCTTTTCGCAGCCCAGCTCATGACGTAACCCTTATCTCTTTGTTTATTCCTCTGAGATTCTCAGTGTGGCATTCACGAAACTTTCGCTTCTGCAGCTCTCTGGTTGGGAATGTGCACGTGTGGAGACCCCGAGGAAGGAAGGGGCGCCTGGCAGCCACTCTGTCACCTGAGGTTGGCGCGGCACTGCCCACGGTGCTGCTCAGGCGGTTGGGGACGGGCAGACGCCTTTACCTCCGTCAGTTCAGATCAAGGCGCCAAACCCCTCGTCCCCACCAGCCAGGCTGCAGATGCGAAGGCAAACTTTTAAATCCCGCAACCCCACACTGCCCGCGGTCTTCACCTTCCCCTGCACCCCACAACCCCATGAGGGCTGGGCATGGAACCTGGCCTGCGTGGGCAGCAGGTCAGCGGAGCCGGGTGTCCGGGAGGGCTCCGCCTCTCCCCCGGCCCCTGTGGAGCTGTCCTCCCTAACGGGCAGCCTTGTCCCTCCCTCCAGGACATGGCACAGGCGGCTCCTTCACTCAGTAATCTTAAAAGAAAAGGACGGTGTCGTGAGTTTTCCCCAAACTGACTCTGAGCTGTCAAGACCCAGTCATCACCCCTCTGCCTGCCCTGCCCGAGGCGCGCTCCTGCGGGGAAGGTGAGAGAGAAGCTCTCCAGCAGCTCCGCTCAGAGTGTAGAAGTCCAAGGTAAGGAAGCAGAGAGTTTAAGTCGAGTTTAGTTTCGTTAGCTTAGTTTCCGCTTACTGACTTCACAGCATTCAAAACTGCTGGAATTCACCGAGCCGTTTCCACACAGAGGAAGCCTGGAAGGCAGAACACGTGTGTGCAAGGGAGCCTGAGCCCCAGGGTCTGAAAATGAACCCTAAGGGATTTATGTAAATCGGAGCTAAGCAGCTCGAAGGCTTGAAGGAGGGGACCACGTTAGTGATTTCTTTTTGCTTTATAAGTCGTGACAGCGTCTTTCTTTTCTCAAAGTCAGCGAACTGTGATTTCAGTACCGTGAATTGACTTTTACTTCCAGCCCCAACAAATGGACAGCCCCCGGGTTCCTCCTCCCACTGGAAACTACTAAGAGCAGGACCAAAGACACTGACAGCAGTGCCCAGGTGACTGGGGAGTGGGTGACCCCCAAGAAGGAAGAAAAGGACGTGGCCCTTAGCCCACTTGTCCTCCTCCCTGGGCAGTTCCATGCTGCCACTCAAGGAGGAGGAACCAGAGTGGGGCATCTGGAGCCCAGGGGTATGCATGCTTGTAAACCCAGCATTCTGGTAGGCTGAAGCAGGAGGATCCCAAGTTCAAGACCAGCCTGGGAAACTTAGCGGCTTAGCAAGACCCTGACTCAAATTTTAAAAATAAAAAAGGGCTGGGGATGCAGCTCAAGTGAAGGCCCGGGGTTCAATTTTCCATACTTAGAGAGAGAGGTGGGGAGAGAGAGAGAGAGAGAGAGAGAGAGAGAAAGATACCCAGAGCTCACACCAGCAAGGCAGAGCTTGGGCCACCATGGGCACTGTGCTAGACTAAATGTGGCTGTGCTGGTCCCATTTCGCCAAGCTTAACGCCAAGGCCTAAAATGATCAGACTGTTTGCAAACAACTGCATTCTGGAACAAAGCTCTGAATATTTGTAGAAAAACAAAATTCATAATAGCAGATAGCTAACCAAAAACTACCAGACGTGCAAAATGCAGAAAAGGGGACCCATTAATGAGGAGGAAAAAAATCAATCATATTGGCCCAGAAGCAGCATGGGTGACAGCACCTGAGACCTGCCCCGTGATGCCTTATCATGGCTTGTTCCATGTCGGGTTCTGTGCACGGCTCTCAGTTCAGGGATGCCCAGAGCTGTCTGGAGACGCTGTGGGCTGTCACCTGGGGCTTGCAGAGGGAGCACGACAGGTATCCAGTTGAATATTCAAGGCTAAAAATAATACATGAGATGAAGCCAAGAACAGAGTGGTCTTGCTGAAGAAAAAGCGAGGCTGAATACACAGCAATAGAAAATACTTGAAATGAAATGAAATCTAAGAAGAAATGAACAGTGCATCAGTGAGCTGTGGATCACTTCAGGAAGGCCAGTGAGTGTGTAACCTATCAAAGAAAGAGGAGAACCATGAGACAGACAAACAAAAATATCAATGGCCTAAACTGTCCCAATTTCATTAAAACTGAAACTCCTAAATCCAAAAAGAAAGCCCAGCGAACCCCAAACATAAGAAACATGAAGAAAATTTCATCAAGACACTTCAGAATAAAATTACCTAAAACCAATTGCAGAGTACATTTTTAACAAGACCACAGGGAAAGAGACAAATTATTTACAGCAAAGTACCCCCCAAACCCAGGAAGCTTCTCAAGAGAAAGAGCACATGCCAGAAGGGAGTGAAGCCAAAGGTTTAAATGACTGAAAGAAAAAATTGTCAACTGAGAATTTTATACCCAGCAAAAATATCTTTTAGGAACAAAGGTTCATTTAATACTTTTTTTTAGGTACACAAAAGCTGAAGAATCCTTCATATTACAATTTTCTTTCATGCAGAAAGAAACTGACACCAGGTGGAAATCTGTTTCTACAAAAGGAATGAAGAGTGCCAGGGATGCTGATTACTTCTGCAAATACGAGGGATTTTATTCTCTTTATTTCTATTCTCATTCACCAAGGTGAATCTATAATGGAGATTTCTCTAGAAGGCTTTCAAGAATAGTGATACCATGAAATCTGCCATAGAAAGATAGGAGGAAAGGACAGAGTAGCTGTCTCAGAGATATGGCCCTGAACACCTGAATCTAACAATAATATCTCTATGCTACACAGTCAGAAAACTTGTACTGTACATTTATTCTAATGACTAAGTTGGGTAAACCAAGAAAATATACAGACATCACTCATCATAGAAAATCTGCTTGAAAAGGTACTACTTTTCCAATCCTTTTTCTAGCCACCTATCTATACTCACCCTTTGTTTAGCCATATGAAACCACTTCCCCCAGGCTGGAAGTAGGCTTCTTATTTTAGTCCATGTCCACGTTTCACAGCTACCACCTTTCCTTAACACCTAGCACAGGAACTGCCCCACAGCATGCAAATATAGGTGGGCAGATGGACAGACAGACCAATCAGGTAGATATGTCAGAGAGAGAGAGGGGAAAAGATGGCTGGCTGGCTGGATGGGTAGAGATACAAAGTTGATGGAAATGTTATTCTGTGATGTTTTAAAATTGACGCTTTTTCAAAGAGATGACGAGAAGGTGGAAGGGAACCTATTAGAGAAGAGGAGGGGATCAAAGGATGATAGGAAAGAGGAAAGAGACTAATAGCAGGATGATCAAAGTATGTTATTTGCATATACAACTATACCAAAATGAAACCCACTATTGTGTAAAACTAACATACAATAACAAATAAAATGAAAAAAAGAAAAACAAATCCATACTTGTAAAAAATTTTTTATTAGGCTTTTTCCATTTGGATTTTTTAGTTTGTTATTTTAAATTATGCAACATGATTGTACATTCATCCTTCCATTCACTGTCCCTCCCACAGCTAATGGGAAAAATAAGGGGTTCACTCCTGCCACCGCTGGACAATTAGTTCTACCAACGATCCTAACGTGCTTGGAACTGGATCCTTCCCCAGATTCCCAAAAGGGAACCGAGCCCTGCTGACTCCCAGTGTGAGCCTCGGGAGGCCCTGAGGGGCCTGTCTCCAACTAGGAAGCCCGGGGTTATTTGTTACACACTGATGGGAAACTAATCCGCTGGCTGCCACCTTCTCTCCAGTTGTCCACAGTCAGTGTTTGTATGATAATGGATGTATGGACATTATTCCCGGGTGGCCGTTTAGTCCATTAAAATTATATTTCTACCTTAAGCAGTGTTGTCCATAATTGTCTCATTTTCTCCTTCCTTGGTGTTCTATGTATTTATAACCAGTTCTTTTTCTAATTGTCAGGGTTTTGTTTTTTGTTTTTTGTCTTTTGTTTTTTGTCTTTTGTTTTTTTTCAGAAAACCATGAGAGATCTTTACTCTGGATCCTTGTAGCCTGTTCAGTGTGGCCTGGTTCATTTCTATCTCTCAGCAGAGCTGATTTTGTATTGAATCTCCTGTACAGTTTTTCTGGAATTCTCTGGCTCACACACTTGCTGCAGTCCTTATTTGCTTTCTTGGGTTACTCTTTTGTTTCAGGAGAACATCACTCCCGATAGCTTCCTGTGAGTAGGACCACTAGAAATAATCTTCCTTCCTCTCTTTCTCCCTTTCTTTCTAATGTGGGAAGAACACTTAAAGATGAGATCTACCTTTTCAATAAATTTTTAAGTGTAGAATATAGCATTGTTGACTGTGGACACATCATACATTAGATCTCTGGAACTTAAACCTCTTTAAAAACTGACTCTGTGCATACCCACTGAACAGCAGCTCCTCATTCCTGCCTCCCCCTGCCCTGGTAAGCACCCTCACTCTGCGTCTGTGTGTTTGACTGTCTTACCTACCTCATGCATATGGAACCTTGCCATATTTGTTCTGCGACTGGTTTATTTCATTTAGTACAAGGTCCTCAAAGTCATCCAGGCTGAAGTATATGGCAGGACTTCCTCCTTTTAAGGCTGGAAAACATCTCATTGCATGGATATACCACAGGGAAATGTCAGTCAAACCCATGATAAGATTCCTCCTCTCACCTTTGGGAACAGTGTCTTAGTTTCAGGCTGCTGTAAAATGAAGGTCCACAGACTAGATGGTGTACAAACAGCAGGGAGGCATTTCTCATTGCTCAGGAGGCTGAGGAGTCCAAGATTAAAGTGCTGACAGAACCAGTGTTTGGTGAGGATTTAGAGCTTAACACATAAATTTGGGGGAAACAAAGACATTCATTCCATAACAGGTGGCTATTATCAAAAAAAGATACGATTTTTAAGGATTTAGAGAAATTGGACCCTTCTATATTGTTGATGGGAGTGTAAAATGGTACAGCCATCTATAGAAACCAGTATGGAAGTTCTTCAAAAATGCAAAAATAGAAATGTATTATAGTCCCGCAGTCCCACTTCTGGGTACATACTCCAGGGGATTGAAGTCGAGAGAGCCTAACACTTCTGTGTGCATGGAGATATCATCCCCAACAGCCAAGATGTGCAGGTGACCTACCGGGCCACGGCAGGTAAAGACAGTCGTGTGGGACCCTCACTCTGCTGTCCCTGAGCCGGGCAGTGCTCGGCTGCAGTTCTGGGCAGGTGGCCTGGCCAGGCCCTGCTTCCAGTCTGACCCTGGGAAGCCTACCTAATGCCATCACGACTGCCAGCCCTCGAGGTAGGACCTGATTTTCTCCTCCTCTTCCCCTTCCTCCTCCTCTTTCTTCTTCTCAGTCCCGGGGTTCTGAAACTTCACCACAATGCCTACCATGCCCTCGACGGGCCCTGCTAATATGGAACAAACTCTCACCCATTCCTCCTAGTATTCCTTAGGTAATTTTCTCCCTTCCATGTCCTCTTTTCTTTCTTCTTGGAAGTCATTATTTCCTGGCCTGATCACTTAGCTTTCTTATCTTTTCTCTCACATTTTCCAAACATTTTTTGTTCTATTTTTCAGATTTCTTCAATTTTATTTTCCAGTCTTATGTGGTCACCTTATTTTACTTTTTAATTTGCAAAAGCTCTTCCTGGTCTGTGATTGCGCTGTTGTTTAAGTCGAATCTTGTTCTTTCTTGAGGATATCTTCTTGTATTTCTGAGGATATTATTTGGGGGAGACTTCTTTCTGACCTGTTTCTGTTTGCTTCTGCTCCTTCCTTTGAGTCCTATTGTTTTGTTCTTGCTATTGTTTTAATTAATGTCTCCTTCTCATCTTAGAGACATTCCTCACATGCCTGCTGGTCATGGCCTCCCCATTCCTCAGTAAGAACAAAGCATTCAAGTATCACCTGGAAGTGACTTTATCTGAAAAATTCTTTTGCTCCTGTAGTCCTGGGGGTCCCTGTAGGGCATCCCTAATATCTCCTTGGCAAGTCTGTCCAGGGACAAAGCGCCCGCTCTTGGACCGGAGGTGCTGACCCTGGCTATCCACATGGGGAGCTACTGAGGCAAAGGGGCTGGTGACGTCAGCACCACATCCCCGCCTTCCTCCACTGAGCCTGGTGTCCTGAGCCAGAGCCTCTGGCTCTCAGCACCCCTAAGGGTGAGCTGGAGGAGTCAGGAGTCGGGGGCCAGCAGGAGCCTGGCTGTGCAGGTGGGGAAGAGGATTTGGGCCCTGCGTGGCTCCATCCTGGGGTTCTCCAAGGTGCTCCCCTCACCACTCATGGTCCTTCCTGCCCAGATCCATCTAGTTTTCCACCTTCTCTAAAGGGTAGAGGCCTTCACTGCTGCCCCATTGCTCTCCATGCCTAAACTTGGTTTGCTCTCTTCTCTTCTTCTTCTACGACACTTTACTCTTTTACTCTCGATTTAGTGACATTTGGTAGAGGGGGACCATGTTCAGCCAGAACCTTCCAGATATTTATAGAGTAGAAGTTTCCTCCTATTTCCTGTTACATTTAGCTAAATCTGAAGCACTTGAAAGCACAGAACATTTTATTGCTTCTTTTTTAGGCAACTATAGTGGAAACTTGGGTTCTCTCTGTTTGCTGGGGCAAAAATTTCAGGGATCATGAACTATTTGCAAGAAGAAAGAGACTGGGCTGGGAGACCCCTAACCCCCCAGGCTAAATCACTCCAACACCTCTCCCTGCGGTGCCTACGACAGCAGCAGGCCCACAGGTCTCGTGGCTCCCGCCAGGCCCTCAGCTGCACCCTCTCGGCAGTGGCCGCAGGTAAAGCAGGCGAAGTCCATGCAGATGATCCAGGGCTGCAATGCCGGGTGCAGTGGTGTACACCTGTGACCCCCACATTCTGAGAGGCTTGGCAGGAGACTGGGCACTCAAGTCCTGCCTGGGAAGCTCAGCAAGACCTTGTCTCAGAATTTTACAAAATAAATAAATAGGGCTAGTGGGGCAGCCCTGGGTTTGACCCCCCAGTTCCACAGGTAGAGAGGAGAGCCCGTCCTCCTAGAGGGCATAAAAGGAACTCTGCACGCAGCCTTCCTTCTGAGTGCTGATCCCTGAGTTCTTCTCCACTAGGTGCCTCGGCCCAGCCCCACCCCCAGACTCCAAGGGCCTTGTGTGTCCTCAGAGGACAAATCCGGCTGTCCTAGAACTGCCCACTGACCGCTGTCACCTTCCCCATGCACCCCTGCAGGGTGCCCATGTGCTGGGGCATGAGCCACTCCCAAATCTCCCAACCCAGAACCTACACAAGAGATTTCCTCTTCTGGCGCCCATTCCTGATGTTGCTGTTGACACTTCTGTGTGAGTAGAGCCTCCACCTTTCTGCGAGGGCCACTTACAGGGACTAGGAATGGAGCGAGGGAAGCGGCAGACTGCTGGCACCCTGCCCATGGGTTTGGCGCAGCCTGGCCCTGCCTCTGACCTGCCAGCCTCTTTTTGTTGATCAGCCCAGCTCCTCTACCCTTCTGCATCTTGTCTCTGACCTTCGATGCTCCTGCCCTGCAGCATCCCAGGTTCAGTTCTAATGCCCTTGAAGGCTGCCCATCCCGGGCATTCGCTGGGCTCGATGCCTTCCCCGGGGCCCCCTGGTGACTGTCACTGCCATTCCCAGCCGCCAGTCACTCTGCCCAGAGCCTGGCAGGCACAGACCTGGATGGTGAGCCAGGGGAAGCCTGCTCCTCCTCCTCCTCCACTGCGTCCCTAGGGCCACGGCTTTCTCTAGCTGCACACTCTGGCCCGGTCTCTGTCTTTGTGGGCAGGAAGATGCCTGGCACACAGGATCGACAGGTCCCCACCGGAAATCAGATCTGCAGGTTCCTGGGCCTCCAGCTTCGGGCAGACTGGAGTCACAGGAAGCACTGCACCAGCCTTACACCAGTGCCCAGGGCTGCGCAGCTGCCACACCACCAGCCAGGGCCAGCCAGGGCACCACTGTGGTGATGACAGCCAGATGTCCACCCGAGGGGACATCAGCACTGGCTCCACAGAGGCAGGAGGGACCCCCCACCCTGGCCTGGGAAGCCATGTCCAGGGCTCAAAGGCAGGGAGACCTGCCACCTGGACCCCAGAGGGAGATGTCCTGTGGCCCTCACTCCTGGGGCTGGAGGGCGGAGCCACTGATGAGAAAGGAGGCCTTGCCTAGAGTGGGAAGTGGGGTCAGAGCCCTCCCCGTGCTGGGCGAGAACCAAGCGATATGGACAGACTCCAACCAGTCCTCTTCAAGACAGCAGCTCCCAGGGTTGTGGAGCAACACAAGCTCTGTTTGGG